ACCAATGTACCTCGTAGTAACTTGTGTAGCATTTTCTCTCTGTTTATCCGCCTATTCTTTCTTCTTTTCTTCCTCTCCCTCTCTATCTCGCACCCCACCCCCATTCTCTAAACACATTTGTCTTCAGTCTCAAGACATAAAACATCACTACACAGCGGTCAACACGGATTATGTCTGGGTATTGACACCGTGGTCTCCTTACACTTCAACTCAACCACTCATCAATGCTCACCCATCCTTCCACCCTTCCACCCATCTACCCGTGAATACTTAGTACAGTGCCTCCACCTACACATCCTTTCATCCATCCTTCAAACCCATCCTACCACCCATCCATCCTTCCACCCATCCTTCCACCCTTCCACCATCCACTCATGAATACTTAGTACAGTGCCTCCACTCACCCATCCTTCCATCCATCATTCCACACATCATTCCACCCACCCACCCATTCTTTCATCAATCCTCCCAGCCATCCACCCATCCACTCTTCAATACTTTCAACAATTCCATCACCACTTCAACATATAATTTTTAAATCTACATCCATCGTCATATTCACACCCATCCACCCATCACACCCATCTACCCATTCCCCAAAACAAAAACTGACGCAAACATCGGCATGTGAACATCGAAAAAAAAAAGACAGAAAGAAAGAAAGAACGAAAGAAAAAAAAAAGAAAAACAAATCATCCCTCCTATCGAAATCTAAGGAGGAACGACTCCACGCCTTCCTATCGAGTTGTAAAGAGGGACAACTCCAGACAATAGGCGGACCCCCTATTCCAGTGTTTGGCGAGCGAAAGCTTTTGTGTTTTTCAAGCCTTCGGTGCAATGAACGGCGATCGATTGAGGAGTTTCTCAGCGCGGACGTACAAGAAAATAGGCCTGGGATGTTGAGACGCTATGCCTTGGTCGACCCTGTTCTGTTTTTCTTTCCCAAATTTTGTATGACTTTACTGGCATTAGTTTACGTTCACAATGTATTACCCACAATCTCATTTTTTAAAAATATTTTCTATTTCTATCTGTGATAGGTTTATAGTTTTTATAACTGTCAAAAAACGGTTTATTAATTTATTTTTTAAAATGTATCTAATATTTTATCTATCCTTGATAAACAGGTTTATACTTTATATTATTTTGTCAAAATCATCTTATGTTTTATTCTCTTTCTGATTAAAAAAAAAGTGGTTTATATACTTTTCTGACAAAAAGACGTATATTTTATGGTCAGTGTTAAAAGATGCTTAGATTTTCAAGTTCATCATTTTTCCCGTTCTTTCCCAAAATACATGGTGCAGATGAAGTAGAGTTCATCTGTTACAGTTACCTCGGCAAGGATATAAAAGGATAGTGTTGTCAGCATTTTGCCCAGCCGCCTTTATTTTCCAACTGACTTGAACACGGATTCGAACTCGAGACTTTCGGGTTGCAGTCTATCTAGTTTTTCTAGTTATTAAACGTAAAAGGTTTAACTGAGTAGCATATTTTTTTTCGCAATAACATACATGTCATCATCGTTTGATGTTGCCTAAATATATACTAAATATATACTAACAATGTTTATTTCTCTTGTCAAGCTTTTTAAATCATTTTTTAAAAATAGTTTTCTTTACTTTGTATGCTATTTTTACTAAACTTACACAACGGTTTTAAAAGTAATTTAGTTTACGAAAGGGAAGCAACTCATAGTCAGTTTTTTTTATAAAGAAAGATAACTCCTCCAAAATTCATAAACGTTGTTTCGTTTTGTCTGTGTCGACGCTGGAGGAATATCCTGTTCCTCACGGGGTCTCCGTGTAATCATTCATCACAATCTATTTATTTCTGCTGCTCCATTTTGTCACAGTCAGCACCTTGCACCCCCCCCCCCCCCCCATCCATCCCCATCCATCCCCACCCCCACTTCTCTCTCTCTCTTTTCTTGTGAGTAATTGTATATTTTTCATATCACTTCCTGTCCACGTCTTTGTTCTTTTTATCTGTGAGGGGGGAGGTAGGGGGTGGCGCGCGCATCCTTCTGACGTCATGAATAAGTGTCTAGCGCGGCTGTTTGTATTTTTTTTTTTTTTATCCATCTTTCACTTTGTAAGTCTCTTTTAATCTGGTCTTTTTATCAGCTGTTTTCTGTCGAGGCTTATTTACATTTGTTTGTGTGTACTACGGCCAACCATCAGCACGTGATAATTAATCTTCAGATTAACCATAACCTCATACAAGCCACTGAAAAAAAAACCCTAAACATTTGTCTATAGCGTTTAACTTCTCGCTAGCATGAAACCGAAAATTAAACCTAAACGGAAACACTTTTTTTTTACAAATCCCATCTTTTTCGGAATTGGATTCTTACGTTAAAAATCATAATTGATACATCAATATTAAAAATCATGACCTTATTTCAGTATAGGTGAAGTAGAGTTTCCCTGTATATCGTTCCAAAGCATATAAAAATATGTGTTCAGTAAATAAATCAGCCCCCCCCCCCCCCCCACACACACACACATACACTCTTTTTTTCCGTATTATACAAGGAATTATTAAGCGTTAGGTTTGGTCATTAAAACACCTGATGCACTTAATCGGAGAAGCGACCAACTTCACGTACTATCGACGCATTAGTTTTGTACTATTTTTAAAGTTTTTCTTTTAAATGAATTTATACATCAATTTAAACATCTAGTCAGTTCCAATAGAGAAATGTATACACTTTATTTTAAAACTCAAAATAGCAATGTTAGCATCGATGTCTATAGGTTTATAAGTATCGTTTAACGTTGCCTTACAGTCTATTGATCATTCAATTCATTCAATATTGACATAATTTTTATTTATATCATTCTCTATACGTTTTCTATTTTTACTCTATTGTTCCTTTTGTCAAGTTCTAGATTTTTATAATATATTTTTTTTTTTATTATTATTTGGTAGCAAATTTTTGCCTTTAATTTCCTTCAATGATCTCAGCAATAAATTCCTGATTATCTCCCTTAAAAGACCCGCGTTTTCCTTTATATCACTGCCAGCGTTTCTTTAGTTTAATTTCCTTCTCTGTCGGTCTGTCTTTTACTTGATGTCTGTATGTCTGTCTTTCTGACTTGATGTGTGTATGTCTGTCTTTTTTACTTGATGTCCGTATGTCTGTCTTTCTGAATTGATGTCTGTGTGTCTGTCTTTTTTACTTGATGTCTGTATGTCTGTCTTTTTTACTTGATGTCTGTATGTCTGTCTTTTTACTTGATGTCTGTGTGTCTGTCTTTTTTACTTGATGTCTGTATGTCTGTCATTTTTACTTGATGCTTGTATGTCTGTCTTTTTTACTTGATGTCGGTGTGTCTGTCTTTCAAACTTGTGGTACTTCGGTCTCTCTAACTTGATGTATACAGGCTGTCTTTTTCATACTTTATGTCTGTTGTCCTGTCTTTCTGACTTGATGTCTTGTCCATCCCCCCCCCCCACCCCCCCCCCAACCCACATTCCTCGAAGCACATCTACCGTCCGACACCCAGTTCTAAATATATCCACCCCCCAAGCTACCTCCCCTTGGAGAATAAATGTCGGAAAGAAATGCTGCTCACCCCATCGCCAACTAAACAAACACTAAGGCCTGTTGTATCTATGAAACTAGTGCATAATTTGCTTCGAACTTTCTGCACGCAATAATAAAAATAAAAAAAGTGCGAAACTATCTCGGACTAGCTCTGTCTACAATAACCAATGAACTGCTGATCCCTAGGACTACAAACTTATCCTGCCGATCCCTGCCACTATAACCCAGAACAGATCCCTGCCACTATAACCCAGAACAGATCCCTGCCACTATAACCCAGAACAGATCCCTGCCACTATAACCCAGAACAGATCCCTGCCACTATAACACAGAAAAGATCCTTGCCACTATAAACTACAGGTGATCCCTTCCATTATATTATGGTTGAAAAAAACGTTTTTAACTTCTGTCAGGCTGTTTATATTTGCTTACCATCAACAAAATTTATTTCACATCGAGCTGTCTTTCCCCGGCCGTCCGCTATATCTTCTTTTAATTAACTCTTAATTAAGACACTTTATTGTTCCCTGTGAAACATAAACAAAATAAACACACGGGGAGATAACAATTTTTGTTTTGAAATACTTTTAGAGGAGTTGTCGTTCCTTTTCATGTTTTGTTTCTCTGAAAGAAAATAATCGAATTCTTGGCACACTTGCATCTTCTCCATAATACAACGGTTCTCTCTATCTCTCTCTCTCTCTTCCTCTCCCTCTCTTTCTCCGTGTGTGTATTTATGTATGTGAGTGTGTTGTTCCATTACACAATAGTTCGCTCTTTTCCGAAACTACAACACCTCTCTCATCCAAGTAATACAACAATTTTCTCTAAATATTTTTCCAACAATACATTTTTTTCTCTCTCTATTCCCCAGTACAAACGAAATATTTCTGCCGCTCTCTCATAAATAGAATACTTGTCTCTACGTCTCCTTAATACACTGATTTCGCCCTCTCAATGATTCAACAATTTTCACTTCTCCATAATACAACAATTCTTTCTTCTCGAAAATACAACAATAATTTCTACTCCATATTACGACAATTCTTTTTTCTCCATAATGCACATGCATATATATATATATATATATATATATATATATATATATATATATATATATATATATATATATATTTGTTGGTATTCTCCATTTTACTTTCTTCATTTTACGATTTTCACTCCTTCGTACCAACGCGTAAAATCCAATTTGATAGGCAAAAATACATAATGAAAATTTTAATCTAGAGTTTGGAGCCCCCTTTGAAAATTTCTCGGGCCTCTAGGACACAGTCACTCCATCCCTGTCCTTAACCTGATAAAAAAAATATTTTAAAACTGATCACACATACGTAGACGCTAAGGCATGTTATCAAAAAAATACATTACCTCTTCATTGCCCATATCCTCTGTAATCTTGTAACTGATTCCTCCTGTTCTCTGCTTCCAGGAACCTCAAGGTGCCTCCCAGCCATGCAAGACACCTGTCGCAGGTAAGACACATTACCTTTTGTTGCCGAAAAAAAAACTAATTAGAACGTTGAGGTGACATACTTGTTCCCTTAAAGAAAATCTTACCTGTCCTAGGATTTAAGGATGTCTTCATTTTTTGAAGAGATAAAATTTTAAGGCGTTGGGGGTAAAAAAGTTCTTTGTGTGAGGCTTGTTCGTTTGAAAACTTTTGTGTAATATGTGTAAGGTGTAATTTACACGTATTTCGTCTGAACCAATTGACGCCCTCACATACTTTCTTCCTTTTCTCTCTTCACTACTCATTATTTATTTCTTTTTCACTTTTCACGGCTAACGTAGTTCTTCCTTTTTTTTTTTGCTTTTCACGCCTCACATAATTCTTTCTTTGCTACTTTTCAAACATCACTGAATAGGGCTGGTAAGTAGGTCACCAACCAGTTCTACGGCTCAATAAAACCTGCATGAGCCATAGAACTGGTTGGTGACCTACTTACCAGCCCTATTCTTCCTATTTACTTTCTACGCCTCATTAAATTCTCCCTTTTTCAATCTCTTAAACAGATTCTTCTTTTTCATCTTTGACTCTAATTCATCAATTCACACTTTATTTTTTTTTAAATAAAAATACATTCTTATATTAATTTCACTGCTAAAATATGTGATTAAAATGTGCTTTAATTAACGACAAACAATCTAAAGTTATTTACCCACTAATAAAAAAGATTTTCCCCCGACCTTTCATTACGCGCTCCCAGGAGTAAACTAAAAACCAGCCCCGCCCACTACCTATTTTCGCATAGTTAACCGTAATCTATTACTCTGTTGGTTGGCGCGGGGAGACTAACAACTTGGCTAATAGACAACACTTTATCTCCCTTCTCCTATCTCCTCTTTCTTTAAACTCATTTTTCTCTCCCCCACTTATCTGTGGGCTCCTCTACATACATACTGCAGTATCGTGATAGTCACTTTCACTTCTTGTAGGCTTTAGTTGCTATTTTATACTATATACTATATATATACATACATTATATATATATATATATATATATATATATATATATATATATATATATATATATATATATATATATTATTATATATATATATATATATATATATATATATATATATATATATATATATATATATATCTACATATATATATATATATATATATATATATATATATATATATATATATATATATATATATATATATATATATATATATATATATCTACATATATATATATATATATATCTACATATATATATATATATATATATATATATATATATATATATATATATATATATATATATATATATATATATATATATATATATATATATATATATATATATATATATATATATATACATATATATATATTATAACCTAAAGTAACAGTTCGGTTACTGGAGTCTGCTCAGCTCTAATATGTACCTGACTCGCTTGATAAGATATGTAAGGATTCCTGGACAGGGGACAGGCCGTATTATCTATTAAACATGTCAAAAAAGGCATAGAGACAAATAAACACTACTGCTTTTGCCCTATAGACTATAGACTATCAGGACAGAAGTAGTAGATTCAATCCACTCTCTCCCTTCCTACTCTTTCTCTCTCTTTCTCTTTCTCTTTCTATCTCTTATCTCTTTCTCTCTCTCTCTTTTAATATATATATATATATATATATATATATATATATATATATATATATATATATATATATATATATATATATATATATATACCGTTAAAAGCCACTAAACATCGCCTCCCCTCACACACTCCATATTTCTCCCCTCTATGTGTTGTATTATCTGTATGTATCCGATTATGTAGTCACCTAGCTTTAAGAAGCCCCGCTAATCGGCCCTCAGACCCTACGATTGTTTTCCCTGCTACTGTTGGTCTAGCCGGGTCTAATGTCCAGAGAGGTTGCCAGAAAAAAATGTGTCAAACTATCTGCCAAAACAAGAGATGACCGTTCCAAGATAACAATCGCGAGTCAGTCAAGCGTGACTCGCCTCCCCAAAATGGCGGCGGTCCGGACACGAGGCAGCTGTTACGTTGCCCATTTGTACCCTGGGAGGGGGGAGGGGGGTTGAGAAGGGGGAGGAGGGGGAGGAACACGGTGGTCTTGTTCTGAGTTCTGTAATAAACGAGACGGGGGTAGGTCGTTGATTAGATTCCCCCTCCCTCACCCCCCCCCCCCTTCCGTCCAAGTTTACTGGTGCCAGAGCTGTTAGCCTTGCTGACCAGTTGCAGACTTGGCAAGGGGGACTGGAAGCGAATCAGATTCCATTTAATCTCAGCTTCATGCCTGGCTGGTACATCGCATTCTATCTCTTCATCCTCACCCCCTCCTCCCTCCCTCCTCCTCCCTCCCTACCCCCCACCCACCACACAGACAAATACTGCATTCCTCTACTGCTTAACACCATATGCCACTTTTTATCAAACCAGACAAAAATATAAAAACAATTATATATTTAAAATTTTTATATCGTCAAACTAGATGATAAACACAACATATTTTTTTTAAACAATTTATTTTAAAAATTGTATAACAAAAAGTATACAAAATTCGATATTTAACACGTCATATTGTATATTTATTTTAATCTAGATAAAATTGTTATTCTTTAAAAATATATTACTGTATAAATATATACTGAATTAATTTTTATTTTAAAAAAAATCTTCAACGCCGATTCTCTCCCCTTTAAGTTTGACTACCATATTATCTCCCCTTATTTCTAAAAATAACCCCCGCCAGTCGCTACTTGGTCAACATGGCTGCGAAAACAGAGACGAGGGTCTCCCTCGGTGCTGACGAGATTTGAAACCCGATCCCCGGCGTGTGAAGATAAAAATTAGTCCTGCTTGTATCTCATTCTATTGCCATTACCTAGACACTTTTCTTTCTTCCATGGCACCGACCGAAGCAGTTGAAGTCTTTGATTGGCGTGTTCCTGTCGGAAAGAAATTTTTATTTTTTTTTACTTTTAAATTCTTCCGGTTCACACAAAATTTTCTTTTATTATGTTGTATTTGTTTGTGTTTTTTTTTTAGATTGTTTTGTTAATTATTTTTTATGCGGTAATAATAATTCTGTTTCGTTTCATATTTTATTTTAAAATGGACATTACATTTTAATTAGTAAAAAAGTTTTTTGAAAAAGTTTTATTTAGATAAAGATCCTGCACTTCCTGAGTTAGGGGTTAAAAATATAGTGTCGAAAATAACATTTCTAAATTCTTTATTTCGACTTTCGTAACAAAACGCCCACGTATTAACTTGATTGGTGAGATCAGCATAGTGGCGGATAGTACATCCGATTTTCCATTCAGCACTTATGAACAGTTTCTTTCATGCATCTCTTCGGGGATGGGGGGAGTGCGGCACTACACTCTTGAAGCATGTCTTCACCCCGAAAGAAATAGACTACATATATTGTACATAGAAACGAAAGAAATAGACTACATATATTGTATATAGAAACGAAAGAAATAGACTACATATATTGTACATAGAAACGAAAGAAATAGAGTACATATATTGTACATAGAAACGAAAGAAATAGACTACATATATTGTATATAGAAACGAAAGAAATAGACTACATATATTGTACATAGAAACGAAAGAAATAGAGTACATATATTGTACATAGAAACGAAAGAAATAGACTACATATATTGTATATAGAAACGAAAGAAATAGACTACATATATTGTACATAGAAACGAAACAAATAGACTACATATATTGTATATAGAAACGAAAGAAATACACTACATATATTGTACAGAGAAACGAAAGAAATAGACTACATATTGTATATAGAAACGAAAGAAATAGACTACATATTGTATATAGAAACGAAAGAAATAGACTACATATATTGTACATAGAAACGAAATACTGTAACCAGTTTCGTTTTCGTCGAAAAATACAACAACAATATTTTTTTTAAAAAACAGGTCCCCTCTGTTTCAACCATCAATACAATAACCACACCTAGGTTAAATATTTTTTTTTCCCCACACTAATATTCACACCAATACTGATTAGTAAACCAAAACATAATTTAAAAAAAATAAAAACCCCACTTTCAGAACCGATAATTGAATTATTTTGTTTCCATACCTTGACGGCAGTATCAAGACCCTGTGAGTTAAGATTCCGCTTTACCCGGCATCCTTTGTTCAAAGACACAAAATAAAGAACAGCCTTCGGCCAGATTAAGCCGATAATCTATACCCGCTGAAGGGGAGAAAACTACTCCATGCTGTGGGCCTTAACAGCCAACATGTTGACTGCAGATCTAATGCCTCATGTTATTCTCTCTTTGTAGTGTTATCAATTACCCTAACCTACACCAGATTGGAGTTATGAAATATCAAAGAGTGGATTTCAATTTTTTTTCATATATTTTTTTTTCCCCATATTGGTTAGTTTTGGATTATGAAAGTAGAACCAAAAGAAAATCCCAAACCCCTCTGAAAAAATAAAAATAATTAATAAAATGAAATCCGGGTCTTATGTTAAGTTAGTAAAGTAAGCTTTGTACTCTTGCATAACGAGAATCGGTCGAAATACAATAGCATAAATTCAACAACATTACTTGCAAAAAAAGATTTTTTTTATTTACAATACTAGCTAATATATAAAATATTAAGTATATGTATGGCCTATATATATATATATATATATATATATATATATATATATATATATATTTATATATATATATATATATATTATAATATATATATATAGTATATAAACAAACATATATATATATACATATATATATTCATATTGATATATTTAGGTATGTATAAACACACACACACACACACACACACACATATATATATATATATATATATATATATATATATATATATATATATATATATATATATATATATATATATATATATATATATATATATATATATATACTATATATATATATATATATATATATATATATATATA